CTGAAGGCTCCTATGATAATAGCTCACAGTCGTGCCCTTCACGGAGTCTGACAACAAGCGCACCCCTAAAGCAGAATGGAAAGGCATGTCAACTTTCTCAATGGGATGTCATATCAACTCACCCACTGTTTCTGATCATAGCATGGGCAGGCAAAGCAGGGAGAAAACAGTGGTGCATAAAACCTCTGTTTTTGCACTTAACACAAACTTTTTTCATATGTTTAATTTTACTGACTGTGCAATTTTAAATTAAAGTAAATAACATAAGTATTTTCTCTCTAAAGACATTTTTACAGTTTTGAATGATGGGATAAGTGAAGTCATCCATCACTCCTATAGCACATCTTATCACTGTTGTGCTGTTCACATGCATGAGGACAGCAGGACAGTAGTGACAGAGTGGAGGTAAGACAAGAATCAGCTCTGAGCTGCTTCTTGTTTGCTCTGGTGATAGTCAAACTAACATGAGGTCAGCCAGGAATCCCAAAGGACTATGATGTTTAAAGATGACATTATGATCTGCGATGAGAATGGAGAACAGGTGGAAGAGAACTTGGAGAGGTGGAGGTATGCACTTGAAATACGTGGAATGACAGTTAGCTGTAGCAAGACAGAGTTCACGTGTGAACGAGAGGGAGGCAAGTGTAGGGTTGGGCATTGTTTGAATTTTAACGTTTCCACTTCCTCATTTTGATTCTGGTTCCCAACAATTGCTGAATCTGATTCTTTTCTTTTAAAATGGGGTGAAAAAAGTTTACATGGTTTAAATGAAGTAGATGCAAAAATTGCCCATCTATCCAAGTTTTACAACTCAGCCAAAAAGTATCTTTGATCTTGGTTTGAGATTGATATACTAGGCAAGAGCAGAATGTGATCGATTATTAAGTTTAATATCCTGGAATTTTTTCCTCATTTCAAGAAGTCTTACCATGTGCAATTGTCTTACTTCAGACTTCTTAAAATAAGGAAACATTTAGTGTGACGACCCCTGAAGATGGAGCAGTCAAAAAAAGAAGGATGATGTAATAAATAGTGATGAGTCAAAAATAGCAAGCCCTCTAATATCACATTTGAATGGATTTTGATACAGTTCTTACTGCTGTCTTCAAAACAGAAAAACGTTAATCAAGAAAATAGGCAGGGTATAAAAAAATCTAAAACATTAGTGAAGTAATCATTAGATTTTTTACTCCTGAAGTTAAATTAAATATGTACAAGATGTGTGATTTAAACGTATTAGCCAAAAATTGTGGGATTAATACCCTATTAAATAATAGTTAAAATAATATTTTTACAGACTATTTAATAAGAAAGAAATTAATGCTTATTAAGTGCATTTGGTGAATAAAAGTTCACTAAATAAAAAACAGTTTATTTAAAGTTGCACTATAACAAACTTAAGTCTCCTTGTCGAGTCAAACTTGGAAACAATATGTTTAAGCAATATACATATATGTAAATTAATTATTTTCCAGTAGAGAAGACACCAGAGCAGTCAAAACCTGAAGTGGTCAGTTTGTTCCCATCATTGCAACCTACTTAACTAAAATTAGTCTCAGCTTTTTTGAGGTAAGTGTGTGGTTCGATAAACAGAAAATAAGAAGGACATACATAAAAGAGACATCCAGCCAGCCAGCCATCCATCATAACCGATGCTTCGGTGAAGCCAATTTCCACAAAGCTGCTAAGCTGATTGAGGCAGACCAAATCTGTTTCACCAGCTTACATTCCTTCAAAATGGCCATCTCACTTCCAATATCACGGGCTTTTACTGTTCCCCATTCCCTTGGCTCAGGCTGAGAGTTAGCAAGGCTTAGCTGGATGAAACACTCCAACAGCCCAGTTCGTCCCTGAAACTCACTGATATCTCTATAGCACAGCCTCTCCCCAAATAATGTAGCTGCACTTAGTTGGTTTATTTACTCAACCTATTATTTTTGACTGTGGGAATTTACAGCTTTTTTTTGTTTCATATTAGAAAAATGTGTCTAATTCTGGGTAAAACCAAAGATTTCTGTGTATATAGATGATTCTAGATAGTAGCACACTATATTACAGTGTCTAAATAAACATTCTGTAAATATACCTTGAATTGCACAGGCAACACCTAAGTTCACCTTTACCTAAAGTAGATTAAAATGAAAGATCTTTTTCTTAAATAAGAGAATTGAAAACTTAACTGCTTTTAATCCAAGGAAGCTTGTTAGACTCTCAAAAAGAAGTGAACTGAAGTGTAATGAGGACAGTTGTTGCAGCTACGCCTGTTTTAGTCACCCCTGGGCGTGCTTTTGCAATAATGCTCAAATATATGATATAACTGTGTCCCTGTGTTGCTTTCTGTCTCTCTGTCATACACCTTTTCTGTCATTTTGCCACTACAGCAAATATCCTGTCAGTTCAGCCTGCAGCCTGACGGTGCTGGTCTATCTGGCCCTGGGATCGATTCGACTCCAAGCCGAGGCCTCCCATTCATCTCAGTGCCATAAAATGTGATTAGTGCTGACTACAGCACTGCAGGGAGATGGGCTGATAGGCCTGATAGCCTCAGATAGGCAGAGCACTCAGCAGAAAGGCAGCAGCAACAGAATATCGCAAAATCTTCCTAGTTGCTTTTTGTTATGTATTTTTTCTGCCACTTTCATTTAGAGTTTCCATTTTTTTGTTTTTGCAAATCTAGTTTGTGTTTCACCTCTCCATCTAATGATCCTCTCTGTATATGTGGTCATTTTGGACTTTCATCCTTTTCTCTCTCATTTATCAACTCTTATCAAATGTTGCTATCCTGCTAAAAATAGATAACATCTAAGTCTGTATTTTTCCTACATCATGATGTTTAAATACTGGAAACCAAAATGTATAACTAAGGTTTGCGACTACATCTAAAGGGCCCTGTCATTTCCACCATGTGGAAAATGCAAAATTTCACAAATTTTGTTTATTTGGGTGAACTTTAAGGCATTTTGGCTGCTGCCGCTCCCTGTACCTGCCGTTAACGGGTAACGAGCACACAGGGTGAACTCTGAGCTCCCCTCCCAACACAGAGAGAGAGAGAAACAAGAAAAGTTATCTGCGACGTGCGCAAAAAAAAACAGGCTCGCTAAAACAGCAGCATCCTCCAAAAATATGAATCTTAGGGTAATGTTTGTGACAGAGCAATACCCCTCTGGTTATTTATTTATCTGGATATAAACTTTTCTGTAAGTTTTGTCAGCACATGATGGGCTGGAAGAATACAAGTGAATACCACTTCCTGTCTAAAAGAGTCACATCACAAGCACAGAAGCAGCGCTGAGTGAGACATGCTGCAAACTCATGGGGCCTCATGTATCAACGGTGCGTACGCAAAAAAGCCTTGCGTACGCCACTTTCCACGCTAAACTCCGGATGTATCAAAACTCAACTGAACGTGGAAATGTGCGCAGCCCCATGCCAACTCCAGGGCTGGCGTACGCACGTTTCTGTGGCTTTGGCTCCATTGGCGACACTTAGATGTGATTCTGAGAAACTGTTCATGATGTAAAAATGATTAATGTTCACACCAGACACACATGATTAACAATTATTACATCCACATGGACGCAGTTAAATAAAAGATGCGCAAAGATGTGCCATAAATACATTTAACAGGAACAGATTCAGCCTTACTGGAAGATATAATAAATAGTGTAACACGCAGAACATTTATTTATAAACAGATAGAATTTTCTAATGACGAGTGGCTCATCAGCCGTTTTGAGGAAAAATCATTTTTAGTTTGGCACTGCTGTGCTCTGGAAGCGTGACGCAGCGAGTAGCCACGTGTGCAACGCAGCGATTGAACTGGAGTTCCACAGGAGCTTTCCAGAGGGAGCTGACAGACCCATCGGGACTCAGTCCAGTCCACCCAAAGCTGAATCATGACCAACGGAATCGTCTCATCCACATGATTGTTAAGGCTGAGTTATGGTCGCGCTCTGGAGCGCGCACCCTCGCTGCCAGTGGAGGTGTTTCATACTTTGCATTTATGTTGTTGCAGATTTCTCCAAAATGACACYTGGAAGTACACTTTACAACTTGTGAAAATGCTTTAAGTAGGAGAGCAAAAGCTTGACAAACAGACTGCGCACAAAGGCTGCGGCACGCGCAGCGTTCGTGTGGACTCTCCAACATCACGTCACGTCATGAAAACTCTACTGAGACGCAGAGACTCGTTTCTTCATATCAGCTATGAAATAAACAAAGATCTATGCTCTACCAAACATTTAAGTTCCTCTGTGTTTACAGTAATGGTAATAAACTCATGCACATAGTGATAAGCCGGTTGCGCAACACAGCAGTTTGCGCACACACACACACTTTAATGTGAGATGTTTTACACAAAGAATGTTTTTTTCTTGGTAAATATTTTTAAATACCTTACAAAAGGAATTTAATGATTTACTGAACCTAGCTATTTGTTATTTTAGTGAAAGTTAATTAAAAGCCGTTTTTTTATTTCTGTGGCTATTTATTTGTTAAATTATTCTTCAGCCACTTTATAATTACACACTTTTTACATAAATAAATATGGTTAAATATGGCAAATGTGGAATTCAGGGGGGGAATGGAAAAGGTGGAAGTTAGAAAAATTAAAATGCGAAAACCATAATCTGGGAAAAAGTAAAAACAGATTTTATAGGACCATACACCTAAAAGCCAATCACATCCTCAGAGTTTGCCAGAAAATCACTCAGTTTCAGAAATATATATCGTATTGCTACAGTAGATTCTGATGTCATTCTAAATAATTTAGAACTTTTATTTTAAAATATGCATCCATTAGGTGCAACTTGGCATAAACAGCAGTGGTGTGATGCTACTCAATACATTTTTAAGCGCTAACATTACACCTCACTATACACTAAAAATGTCTGTTTGATGTAACGTTGGGAATGAATGAACAAGTAATTTATGATCGGTGTGAAACAGCCAGCGTTTCTTATGTAATCCATAATGACCAAATGAGATCACACGATCCTGACCTGTGTCTCCCGGATGTTCTCCACAGTGAAATTGAACCAGACTCTGAAGCGTGGGTTGCAGGTGTCGGGTCGGATGAAAAGGTCAAACTCAAAATCACTGATGTAGTCAACACGGCCCAGGTTCCCTGCAGACACAGTTAAGCAGCTTATATTAACATGTTGTCAGCCTGAAAACTTCAAAACAATGTGTCACCTTCATTTCCTCTGTATTCCTCACATTCTAGAAAGTCTACCATGAAATCACAAACTACTGAACTATTTTCATGCTTTTACTGGACTCAACTGTTTAGAATGTCTCAGATCGCTGAGCAGGAGCACACTTGTGACCCATCCCATCGAAACGAGAATTAAGTCTAAAAGTTGTATGTGGAGAAATAGGCAGGTATAGTGTTTTGATTAAAATGCTTGCAAAAAATTACATTTTGTCAAAATATAACAAATAAATGTGTTATCAATGTATCATTTCAATGAACTGTCTGAAATATTATCCTAAAACAATTTGAAGCATTTAGCAACCAAAAACCCCAATTTTGAGGAAAAACACCTTAAAATGTTGAGATTTTCCCTGTGAGCTATCAACGCTTTTGTTTCTTTCCAGATGGAAAATCTCAATATTCAAATACTATTTGAGGTTTCTTTTTTCAAATGACATAAAAATCCTCATTAAAATTACATAAAATTAGGATTTAGATCAAATATTAAATAATATATCTGGATCTACTAATGATATCAGGATGATCTAAGTATCAAAATGTAGCTTTTAAAGCCAGGAATCTGAAAATACGATTAAGTCATTTTGATCAAATTTGACTTAATCCTCATTTCGATGTGATGAGTCACATTTATTCTTTCTAAAATACATTTAAAATAAAAGAGATTATTTGTTGATGTCAAGTTTAAGTTGATACTTCATATTGCAAAATATAATATATAGGTACTATATACTATAGTAGACAGTTTTTATAAGTAAGAATAAGACTTAAAACAAAAAGTCTCCAACAAAAATTTGAACAAGCCATACAATACTATATCCTATTTATCAAACCAAAATGTAATTATTCCATATTGACAAACAACATGAACACTGAACCAATCTTTAATATCAGACTGGCATATCCTTAGTAGGTTGTGGATAAAGCCATTATTTTTCTGATATAGGCCTTGTTATTGCTTTCTAATTCTTAGGTGGATACACATGTAGTGAACACGATGAGATCTTCTGATATATGCACATAAAAACCACATGCTAGGCTTTTATTTGAGCTGCAAGAAAGAAACACAACATGGTGAGCCAGATTACTTTGTCACATTAAATACCGAACTGGTGTTTTTAGTTTAAACCAAGCAGCTGTTAGAGTGTTAGACTTGCAAGAAATCTAAGCAGACCACAAGGCACCATATCAGGGCATCAGGGTACTGTTGACCACCTGGTGGCAGGTAATACCAGACCAAGGGGAGCAATGCATCTGTATACATCTGATCACAACCAGATGTGCTATCAGACAGCAAATCCTTGAGTCAACTTGAAACATTAGACCAAAGTATTTAATGTTATGAAATGAGTGCTGAAAACCAAGAGATGACATGAAATTTTAACTTTATTTGCAATTTAGGATAATTGTCATTTTCTAATTTTTATTTTAATTACCAACACATATTTATATATTTATAGATATTTGTTAATATGTACACAAACATGTTTATATGTAATGCCTGTTCATAACTAGTTTCCATCATGGTCAGAGCCACAAGGAAACTTTGGAGGTATATCATTTGCAACATTCCTTTTAAGATTTCCTCTATACAAAATCAATTTGTGATTTTTGGTTAATAAGTAAGCAACTGTAAGTTTCAAAAATGTATTATTTGATAAATACCATTACAGTTTCTACATCATGCTATATTTTTTTCTGTAAGTTAAAGGAGACCAATTATGGTCCTAGAAATTTTTATGGTATGTCTGTGGGCTATCCAGACCATGTTCATTCAATTTAATGCACAAAATAATTCTCAGATAATAAAAGTTCCCATTTTCTAGTTCTGCCTGCTCTGACTTCCGTTCAGAAGAGCTTTTTATGTTAATGAGCTCTGTTGGTAACGCCCTCCAAAAATCTGTTGACATTAACTCCGCCCTCCAAAGCCAGCGTTTACGTTAGCATGGCTGATAATAGCAGAAGCTCCGTTGTACAACCATATGAGAGACCCAGAGGCAGAGTCGGTCGCAGCTTCTTTTTTTTTCCCTCTCCCTCCTCTGCTCTGTGCTCACTCTGCATGCTGTTACCAGAGCAGGGAGCAGCAGCAGTCAAAATACCTCAGAAACTCAAACAAATAGGCTTTAACAAGGCTATAATAAGCTAAACAATAGAGGTACATGAGAAAACGTGTTCATAACGAACGAAAATAAATGAATAATTAAATTGTGTCCATGCCAGTCTCAAACCCTGGTCAACTGCTCTCTGGGTCCAACACTCTACCCATTGCCCTATTGGAGGTTTGTTGTAAAATGAGCTGTGCATTGCACAACAACACCGTGAGAGCTTTTTATACTGAGGAGGTAGAGCCTCACCCGGGGGTTGCTAGGTAAGGGGCTGAACGCAGGTTCCGGTGGGTTGTCGTACAGCTTGTGACATCACAAAATGACGGAAGTATAAAACTTGTCGTTAATACACATTAAAAATACATTTACTTACAGTAAATATGCCCCTGGGTGCATTTTTTTGGTCCTAGGACTGTTTTTTTAAGAAGTACATACCCAAAGTTGAGTTAAAAAAAACTTTTAAAAGTGAATTTTGCATAATAGGTCCCCTTTAAACTCAAAAAAGAAAAGTACTTCAGGACATTACAAAATGAAGCTATAGAAGTAAAACTAGCTTAAAGGGGTGATATTATGTGTTTCTCAGGCGTATATTTAATTCCTATACCATAATAAATATCTATGTCACCTTTAGTTGATATTAAAATGGTGTTTTTATGTTTAAATAGAAAATAACCTTGTTTTCTCATCACTTTCTCTTCTAAATGCCTTGAAATTGGCCTCTGTCTCTTTAAGAACCACCTTCCGCTTCTGTCCCGCCCATTTCATTTTGAATCTGAAAAAGGCTTCATTGAGTGAGAAGTAGTGTTATGAGCTCAGCAGACAGTTTCAAGTTCAGTTTCACCCATTGTTCGCTTTGTTGCTGCTGAGAGCCTGTAGGAGTCATGGGCGGCGTGTGGTTGGTGGGGAGGTGTGCTCCGTGATGAGGAACCTCGGCTTGGAGACGAAGCCCAGAGGCGGAGATGGTCCCAAACGCTGGTTCTAGTCCCAACCGGTCGTTTTTGCTCCCCTGCCTGGCTGCCTCAAGACACTACAGGATTTCTCAAACATGCATGAATGAGTCAAAGTAAGAATCTGGGCATGTTTTTGATGAGACCATAACATTGTAACATGATATAAAACTCAAAAAAGTTGATTTTACATGATATAGCCCCTTTAAGAAAACAGTATTTGTATCTTTATGAATAAGATTAAAAGTCATTATTTTATCCATTATATTATCCTATTTCTCATTATTACACAGATCAAAATAAAAGGGTATAAAAGAAACCCCCAAATGCAGGAATGAATGGGCAATTTCTTCAGCTGTTTGAAAACAGTTCCAAACTGAAAGAAAAGCAAGTCAAAAGAATGAAACAGGTGAATGTGACCAAACTGCAGCTAAGCAAAGACAGAAAATAAACATATTTAAGTCTCTCTTTCTGACAGATACAACATTCAATAAATTATCTCTTCAAATTAAATAAACTAAAAAGCCAACACTGTAAAACAGTCTTATATTTGATCAATTTAAAAACATCCTTGAAAAAATATTCCTCTCTTTTATAAGTTTAATTAATATTATTTGACAATAAAAGCACAGTCACTCTGCGTGACCAGATTTTTACATGTGAAATTTCCTTATTTAATATTAGTTGCTGCTACAAATAAATATCTGACATCAAGTTAACAAATGTTCACTTTTTCTTCTTAAAAACTTATAAGATTGACTTTAAACAATATCTCTATGAATATTTAAAAAAGGATGAGCATTTTGACATGGCAGATAAAATCTAATTATTGACTTAAAATGCAGCAAAAACAGCAAACATGAAGGAATAAATCTTCTGGAGTACATCCTTTTCTACACATATAATTTGACAACAACATGATGTCAACTTCCCAAAGACACTGTGTTATTTTCTCACCATGAGTGAAATTATAAAAACATTACAATAATGTCGTAATAGTTGAAGATCCAAAGTGATTATAAATCTGTGCTAAGAAAGTTTTACTGTTGTATTTGCAATCAATAATGAACTGGCTGTAAAAGAAAATGTAAATGTCTGTCCATCTTTGTCATCTTGCAAATATTTACTCATAGCAGAACAACAAAATAAAATTAGTACAGGCTTGTAAAGTCAAGGCTTCAAGCTGCATGTTGTTAGTCATTACAGGAGTCAGTAGTGACAGCAAAAACACTGCTTTTATGTTTTTAAATGCATGATGTGCACACGCTAATGGAGTCTCCACAACCATAAAAAGATCTGGCATAAATTTTAAAGAGCCATTTTCAAGTTTCTCACTAATAAAACCATTCTCCTCTACCGTTACTTCTAACTTGATTGTACTTTAGTTTGACAAGTTTATTGACAAATAATAAAACCTTTCTTGACAATGTCAAATGCTTAAAAAAATGCTGCCCATGTAGTATGTGTACAGCAAACTTAGGAAAAGGGGTTAAATTAGCTCAAAACAGAGCTTTGTGTCTTCTCTAGCTTGTACTATAACACAGAATGCAATAGACAGTAGCCATGGGCGGCTGGGTTATTGAGCCTGAGGATGGAGGGTTCTGACGTGAGAGATGTCCTCAGCATCAAGGTTGGAATTACGTGTACACGTTCAGCCCACAGAGCAGCAGCCATATGACACGCCATTGATCCCCGTTTCAATTTTATGGTGGCTGACTCCAGATTCAAACACTTTGGTAGGCCTGTGGCGTGACCTTTTTAATCAATCCCGTGTTATTTAGTATTTAACTAACACCAACAAACTGATTATTTTTTAATGGCTGCGAAAAAAACATTAAATTATATAAAGCTATTTATTCAT